TATGTTGAATGTTTGTCTGTGATTTGTGCATATCGAGATCCTCGTGGGTTCCAACCCGTTCGTGCAAAAAGAAGTGTGTTGGTCGATTGGCGATGTCAGCACTGTTCGTTTTTAACGTGAGAATTGGACCCATGGCCCTCGTCCTCTCATTTGCGAAGCTTTGGGCCCAGTACCAGAAAACTAGCTTGAATGGCCGGTTAGTAGCTTTGTGGACTCCTCGGGTCAATGGCTGTGGGATCTGTTCGGTCACTTAATACCTGCCACCGTCTCCTTGCGAATTGTGGCTGTTCTGCCGCCCTCACAAGCCACCAGGCCAGACACCATCTATTGGGGATTTTCCGAGAATGGGTGCTTCAAAACCAAGTCGGCTTACTATCTCTGTTTCGCACATGCCCGATGAACGCGAGTGACCGATGCTTATTGCGCATTATTTGGAAATGGGTGGGCACGCAGCGTATACAGTCAATTTCTGTGGCTTATTGTGAAAGGTAAGCTGCTCACCAATGTCGAGAGGAGGCGGCAGCATCTCACAGACTCCTCTCTGTGTACACTGTGCGGACGAGCGGAGGAATCGACCCTCCATTGCCTTCGAGATTGTGCTCGTGCAACGCTAGTGTGGCAGCGGCTTCTTCCCGACAGTATGCCTGGATTTTTTTCCTTGCCATTGCCTGAGTGGCTATCTCAGAACTTGCAGAATGGGTTACATATTAATGTTATCGGCTGGAAAACCACTTTCGGAGTTACGTTGTGGCAACTTTGGAGGGGCCGCAATGAGGAGATTTTTTCGGCTGTGGAGCTTAACGTTGATGAGAAAATCCAGGACGTGTACTCGTCTGTTGATGGCATTAAGTCGTCCACTTCAGTTGAGAGGCTCCTGGGAGGTCTCGGCATTGGTCGCGACATTCACTTTATTCGGTGGGAACCTCCCGAGGGCGAGGTCGTCAAAATTAACACAGATGGCTCTTTCGTGAGTTCGTCCGCAATGGCGTCAGCTGGGGGTTTGTTTCGCGATGCCGGTGGTCGTTGGCTTGGAGGGTTCGTAATGAATATTGAGTATTCTTCCATTACCGGTGCCAAATTGTGGGAACTCTTCCATGGCTTACTGCTCGCATGGGATATGGGATTTCGTCGGGCCATCATGGGAGTGGACAACAAGAGCGTGGTAGAAATGGCTAAAGGATGCCTAGTTGACAACCTTGGAGTGCATGGCGGTTTGGTTCGTGCCATACGTGAATTGCTTAGGCGAGAGTGGGATGTGCGGTTGACTCATTGCTATAGAGAGGCCAACTTTGCCGCTGACTGTTTGGCGACTCTAGCCCACAGTTGCCCCGGTGGTTATCAACGGTTATCTGATCCCCTATCAGTAGTTCTTCCGTGGTTACAACACGACACTGTTGGCGTGGCTTACCCACGGAACGTCCCTATCTGATGGTCCTAGGCTTTTGCCTCCTTCTTTGTACCAAAAAAAAAAAAAAAAGATTTATACGGAAATCATCTTCACTGCCAAACAAAAAAAATAAAAAAATTCCTATAAATAATCAACAGTTTAGTAGTTCCAAATTAAAAAAAAACTAAATAATCAACGGTTTATTAAATTTTAGTTGGATTTTTTATTTTTATTTGGAACTACTATTCTGGCCAATAGTTCCTATAAATTTTCGTTGGAATCATTTTTCCGTCAATAATTTCAACTATCGAAAAAATTGATGTTGGAATCGCCAAAATTCAAGAAAATTTTCTACGGAAAATCAATTCCAATGTAATATTGTTAGAATTGTCGAAACTATAGCACTGGAACATTCATTGTAATTTTATTCAGAGATATCGTATTTGAAAGATTTTATTGGATTTTCGATGTTTTTCTAGTATTATAAGGCAAATCCAAATATTAGCCAAATATGTTCAAGCATATTGGATTTTCGATGTTCAAGCATATCATATTGGTCTGGCTTGTGGTGGCGGTCCGGCCTTGGTCTGCCCCTTTTCCGACCTCCTCTGGTGCTGGGTAGGTCGGGACCTCCGGCGGCTGTGGCTTTTTGTCAATCGGTCCCGGAGTTGGCGTGGGGGGCCTGTGGTGATGGACTGATCTCGTCTGAGTTGCGAGTCCGGGAGGAGGCTTCATATTTGGGTCCGATGTGGCCGTTAATTGTGGTTTAGTCCTGGATTTGTGTCTCGATGCTTGTTCAGTTGTGTTGGCGCTGTGGTTGGTGTCCGGTGGGGAGGGCATAGATTTATTTAGCTTAGCATGTGTTATGTGTTGTTTTGCGTTGTGTTTTGGTGTGATTGTTTATTGTAATTTGTGTTTTTTCGGTTCTCTCGTTTGCGAGCTTCTCCTCTTGTGGGAGTTTGTTGTAGTTTGTGGTTTTTCGGTTCTCCCGGTTGGGAGCTTCTCCTCTTGTGGGAGTTTCTTTCTCCTTTTGTGGGAGTTTTTTTCTCCTTCTGTGGGAGTTTGTTGTGTGTTGGGTTGGTAGATTCTGGACTACACTTTGTGTAGCTCCCTCTACTTGGTTCAGCTAGTTGGCTGGTTTCTCAGCGGATTCGATGTTTCTAGTCTGTATTTGTGTTTTTGTTCTATATACTCTATCGTTTGGAAAAAAAAAAAATCATATTGTAGTTAAAATTTCATATGGAGGTTTTTTTTTTTTTTTTTTTTTTTTTTTTTTTTTTTTTTTTTTCAAACGGCCAACACTTATATAAATAGAAAACTCAAAAGAATATAGAGGGGATGTCAAACGGCAAACACTTACATAGCATACGTTGCACCTGCATTCTTCAACTCAGAAGGCATCACCACGTAGCAGTTGGTACCCTTTGAGGTCACAAAGCTCACATGTTTATGGTCTTCACACCCGACGCATCCATCATACTTAGAGTCAACAAGTTTGTTTATCCTCCGTAGTGGGTAGTGATCCTTGGGGAATGCGCCACTTTCCCTAACCCCTTTTCACCATTATTAAGGTTGACAATCAACCTGAAAACTGTATAGATTGAATATGACCTATTTTTTACGACTTCTCAACCTCCGTTTCAATGACTGCGTCGAGCTCCGCTCTAAAGTGACGTCTATTATGCTTCACTAGCCTTATGGTTGTGTCGATATTCAATGGGTGCTCAACCATCTCTGGACTTATCCTTGAGGTCGTTAATTGAGAACACGAAAATGTCTGCATACTCTCTTACTAGAGCTATGAGAGCCACATGTACGTCCTTACAGAGATTCTTTCTGACCTTGGCTATCTTTTTCGTGTCCCCCTCTATTATTCAACCTCCATAGATCGCCATGTGACTAGAGCTCAAGATTCTCGAACCTTTTTTTTTTCTTTATTAGGAATCTTCTGAGGTTCCCTTTCGACCTCTTTCTTCTCTTGTCTTTCGATGATCTTGAGCATCACTTGGTAGCACGGCCTAACCTATCTCTGGTCTCCCGCTACTTTTCTAACCTTGTCCCCCATTGGAAACTTCACTTTCATATACAACTTGAAAAGATTTGAAGTTGGACGCTCCAAGATGATGTATAGGCATATTTCCTTTCCACGACCATAAATCATATTCAACTTTCGCAAGGGTGGTTGACCTAGTGCGACGGGCAAGTATAATTCCTCAATCAGACTGACCTCATTAACATTAAAACCATAAAGGGAAGTGTTGACCGGCTCCACCTTCACGTCGAGGTCCGTCTGCCTAAAACATTGCTGAAAGGTAGTATCCTTTGAGCTATGAATACAACTTGAACATCATAACTAGCATCCTTTGTAGTGATTACTAGAGCATCATTGTGAGGGGTAGAGTTAATCTTCACATACAATAACCCGAACTGTAACGAGGTCAAAACCATGCTACCGAGCTATTAACTATCGTGGACATGTTAGCCAGAACTAACCACTCTAGCTCGTGCGCAGAACTATTATGGGTGCTATATCACATTTTACTAAATCAAATTGATAAAATTAACGTGACAATGAGTGTAATTAGCGTCATGTTATTTTTATTACATTTCAACTCACAAAACTGAGAGTAGAAAAATAAATTCACTGCTTAAAAAGTAATTTATAACTATTTACTTTATTTATTAAAATGATTGATTTCTAAAAACAAGAAATTATTATTATTATTTATTTATTTTTTTTTTGGTACTGGAAGGGAAACGACACGACGGTCGTTAGATCACGACCTGGCGAGGGTAGGACACGCCAGCCGCATCATGCTGTAACAACAAACCCGCCCCCTTAGGGGGGCTATCAAACCGGTGTAAGCCACCTGACCCCTTAGCCGCCAAAGATGCCATAAAGTCAGCCACAAAGTTAGACTCGCGATACCCATGAACAAGCTCAGTCCTCCATGAACGTCCCCGTAGCTCCTGAATAGACCGTATGAGTCCTCCATGCGGCCCGTTGATTTCCTCACAATGAACCATCTCAATTATGCTCTTATTATCGACCTCCAGGATGACGTTACGGGCCCCAACATCCCAAGCCAATTGCAGGCCCTGGAGCAAACCCCACAACTCGGCTCCAATAATAGAACAATACCCAATATTCATCATAAATCCACTGACCCACTGGCCAAGATGATCCCGGATGACTCCCCCCGCGCTAGCCATGCCCGAAAACGGAATGTAAAACAAGAAATTATTTGATATATAACCAAAATGAAAATTTTGATATGCAGTGGTATTTAGAATATCGAAAATATTATGCTAGTCGGTCTGACCATAATACCTTCATGCTTCGCTTTTTAGTAAAATATGAATACTAGCATTAAACAATATCATAGTTTGAGAAAAAAATATAAACAAAAATATGACATTCTACGATATAAATATATTTCGTTAAAATCTGTATGACATATCGACTCAACTGACGGGTTATCTCATACCAAATTTTGTGTTGCGACATTTTTTGTTTAGTAGAATGTGAATAAAATATTTCAACAATAATTATAATTTATAATGTATATATATACTCATATATACTCAACCAATTTGTAATTTTCAACCACAAAAAAAAAAAAAAAAAAAAAAAAAAAAATATTTGTAATTTTCCATGTATGTAACAAAAAATGAAGAAAAAGGAGAGATACACGCGCAAACATTGCCAAATGGCATATTCTATCTTAGAGAGATGAGAGAAGAGTTGTGGTGGTGAACAATTTGAGAACCATTTGGATGTGGTCCCCACCATTCCCATCCCAAAACGTCCACAAAAACCCCTCCCTCCTAACGAGATTGGCCAATTTTTACCGGACAATTTTACCCCTGATTACCTGCTATAGCAGGTTTAATTTTATCCTTAACTAAAGTATTATATAAATCTCTAACCCACAAAGGGGTTTAAGCTATTCTTTGTTAGTTCGGTTATTGGTTAGCCTTCTCCAAACCCAAACCCAAACCCACAAGAGAGTTTTATATTAAACAACTTCGTTATTTATCAATTTTATTTTCTTCGCTTTTCCTCTTTGAAATTCCAATTTCCAATTCTGTTTTTTTTCTTCTGAGGTTCAGAGTTTATTTGCGTGACGTTCGTAAATTTAGCCTAACCAGTTGGAATTCTGTACAGAAAACGAAGGAATAAAGAAGCAGTTGTCGTTTTTGTTGAATTTTTTCTCCGTAGAACAATCCAATCAATCATCTGGTAATTTTTTTGATTGTTTTGTTGAAAACGTTTGTGGTGTGTTTTCGATTTTGTATTCTGAATTCTTGATTATGAAATTCTGTGAGTTGGTTTTTTTTTTTTTTATGATCTTTTCGTATCTTCGTAAAATTTTGGTTGATTTGATTTGATTTTCACGACGAACTGTTGGGAATCGTGTTGATCCTGCGGGGATCTGATAAATTTCGCCTTTTTTTCTCTCCCCTTTTCGTTTTGTTCGGTAACAATTGATGTTTCCTGTGTTTGATCGTTGAAAATTAAGGGTCTTGGCTTTAACCGAGTAGCTAGCTAATCTGGGGTTTTGAATTTTTACCTTGATTTTTTTTTAATGATTTTCTGATATTTATATTTTCATGGGAAATTACCGATCTGGGAAAAAAAATTCGAAATTTGGAATTTCAGTTTGATCAGGATCACGATCTGATGAGATTTCAATTCTGCTATTGAAACACAAGGAAACTGAAATACACAAATTTCGCCCAAATGTAAATTGTTTTTTAAGATCTTAGTTATATGATGATCTATTGTGTTTTCTTGGTTGATATCCTAAATTCTACCCTTGACATGGAATTGATCTTTGACAGAGATTTAGGATTTTTGGGCATCTTTGATCAATATTCTTAATCGTGCATGGTATTCTACCTTTGACATGGAATTGATGTTTGACAGCTTAAGCCTTTCAGATTTAGGATTTTTCGGCATCGTTGATCATTATTCTTAATCATGGATCGTAGTTTTTCTATAATATTCTTTGGAATGATGAACCATTAAAGTTGCCTCTTCCAGAGTCCACATATAATTGAATCCGATTCTGCAAATTGTTATGGCTCTGTAGTATAGGTTTTGTTGTTGAGCAATTGACAAATGGGGTTTGCCTAATATTTGACAGGTTGAGACTTATTCTGCAACATCAGACTGCTGCATTTAATGATCTCATATTGGCATGCTTTCTAAGATATGGTATCAAGAAAGAGGCTGGATTATGGTTTTCGTGGCTACCGAGCCCCCGTTATTCCCAGAGCTCCTCGATCAATAAGGGTAACCATATTTCCGAACCATGTGCCCTCCACCACCTTCGGTATTATTGGCTATGTCACTAATCATCTCGTCTATGTTTTTCTTTCCAGAGGAGGGTCCCACTCAAGGATTCATGCGAAGACAGCAAGCTTTGTCCTTTTGAATTACTTGCAGCTGTAGCTGGTAAGTTGTTGCAAGAGAGTGAAAGCTCTACCTCAAGTAATGTAGCTGGAGGAAAAGATAAGCGAGTTATTTCCGGAAATGGAAATGAGAAGGGACAGCTTATAGATGACAAAACTTTGAAATCCGATAGCTTTGAACATGGAAGTTGTGCTGAGAGTGCATTTGTTCCTGAAGTATCCGTTCAAGATCAGAATCTCCTACCCAGTTTCAAGGAGAAATCGCAATCTGAGTTCAATGCCATCATAGAGCCCCCTTCCGAACCTGTGAGTTCGGATGCCCTAGAGAAAGTTGATAGTGGTGTCAAATTTGAAGAGTGTGAAATTAAGAAGAATAACACTAGTGTTGAGGGATCAGCTTGTTTTGGTGATAGTTTCAACTCTAAAGTTGAGAGTCGACCAAAAATGGATTTGGGGGATGAAAAGTGTCAGATAGGTGGACTCTTAATTGCATCCGATGTAAAGAAACTGAATAAAGAATGTGTGAATAGTAATATTATAATTAATTCAGATAGTAGTGTACAGTTGCCCGTGTACAGGGAGCCCGTTGCTGATGCTTGCTTGAAGAAGCACTCGGCTGATGTAAAATTAGGAGTTAGAGATGATGACGAAAATTCTTATAGGTGTAAGAAACTTGGCACCAAGGTCAGGCCCTTCAAGCCTCGACCACGAACTGAACACCGTAGAATAAGGAAAATGATGACATCCAAATACAGAAAGGTAGTTCCAAAGCGGAAGGCTTATGATCTTTATAACACTAGTAAGTAATGCATATGTACTCTCAATATTCTTGATTTCTCTGTGACTTATCCTTTGTGCATACATAACTATGTTTCTTCATATTATATATTCAGGCGAGGGAATGAAGTCGTATTACCAGTATAGGAAGCGAATCTATACACGAGAGGGCTGTCAACAAGCACCTATCAAGAAAAGGAAGTTGTTTGATAACAGATTTTCAGTGGGTTATGATCAAGATACCAGCAGCAGCAGTATCTCAAATTTGCCAGAAAAGGGAAATAGGACAGGTAATATTCGCTCAGCCTGTGTCCTCTGATTAGAATTTGAATGTCATGTGCTGACAGTACTTCTAATATACTTCTTTTTTCTTTACTGTATTGCAGCTTGTGGTACGGTGAAAGTTCATTCAAAAGGCAAGGACCCACATGGTACAAAAATATCCCATGTGGCATATGGAATCTTCTTCTTAGCTTAATTTTTCAATTTTGTGATATAAAGGAGTTCTTACCCTGTTTTCTTCTCTTCCACCAGTGAAATTTAGCATCAAGTCTTTCAAGGTGCCAGAACTCTACATTGATCTCCCTGAAACTGCAAGTGTTGGTTCTCTAAAGGTTTGTGTTCATTCACTTTTACATTTTTTTTAATAATATTTTGAAGGAACATCATCTAGAACTGCAGTCTTTATTTGAAAATGATGCGGTCATTGTGAACATCTTTTAGATATTTGAGACATTACACCTGCATCGAACTATGCTTAATAATTCTGAGTGTACTGAGTTGATGTACTTCGGATTCTTTTCAGAGAACTGTGATGGAAGCAGTTACAGCTATTCTGGGAAGTGGAATACGAGTAGGTGTACTTCTTCAAGGTAAGAAGATCAGAGATGACAGTAGAACTCTGCAGCAGGCTGGTATTTCTCTGAGTAATGACCTCGGCACCCTGGGTTTTACTTTGGAGCCGTGTTTTACTCATGTTTCCTCATCCAATGCTGCTGTTAAGCAACCCTCCCCAGTGTTGACATGTGAAGAAATTCCAGAGTTACCAAGGCATGATGATTTCTTTTATCCTTTTCGTAAATTTTCTACTGTTAAACTAACCGTTGATGATTGCTTGCAATACCTTTGTTTTTCTCCTCATTTCTTTCCACCTTTATGGGTGGTTTGATGGTAATGAACTCATTACCATACGCCTTGTTTCTACCCCAAGTGAATTTCCTTTAATTGCTTTTTGCACAGGGCAGTGGTAGACCTCTTGAAAATCTTAATAGAAGAAAAATTATAATAATAATGACAAAACTAGAAATAGCTAGAGTTTGTGTTAGTTTTCTCATTTTGTATTTACTTTTCAGGTCTCCACCCACTCTTTTCACAGATTCAGCCATCTCAAATGCCTCAGTGGACCCACCTACTGCTCGTGTGGCCCCCACATCTGATGATGATGATGTGTGCAACAAAGAACTCATATTGTCATCCTCCGACTCTCCTGTAGATGAAGTAATGGGTGGAGTAGCAGCTACTGCTCCCGACCCCAACAATGCTTTGGTAGAATTGTCTCCAATAAACGTGGGCCCACTTGCAGTGGTCCCCGTGTCCAAACTGAAACGTAGTGAACTTTCACAGCGTAGAACCAGGAGACCTTTCTCGGTGGCTGAAGTCGAGGCTCTTGTTGGAGCAGTTGAAAAACTCGGAACCGGAAGGTATATCATCTTTGGCACGACATTAAATACGAAAAGAATGTTTCTAAATATATGCCCTTTAATGTTAGCTGTTGCATTTTTAGTTAAAAACATTAATTTTAAGTTATCCCCCCATTTTACAGGTGGCGTGATGTCAAAATAGGTGCTTTTGAGAATGCTGAGCATAGAACTTATGTTGACCTGAAGGTATGCTGCTGAGCATTCTTTGCATGTAATCTATCTCGCGTAGCATTTCCTCATTATTTGTGTTAATTTTGCTGAGCAGTTTGGTACCGTTTGGATTTTAAGATCTTAATCTGTTTTTTCCGCAGTTGTCTATTTCATCTTCCTGTTTAGGAGGTGGTTACTGATTCGGATTATCTTATCATCTTCGCTATTGCTTTTAATTTATAATAATATCATTACACAAATGAAGTTTGTGAATTGGTGATATGACATGACTTAAAGGAATCATGCACATTGGTGCTTTTGGGTAGACCCTATATCTATTTAGATTCTTAAAGTAACTTGCTGTTTATATGCAATATTCCAAAAGATGCTCCCATTGCCCTTGGCAGCTAGGCCCTAATCTGCCGTGTACCCTTTCATAATATAAAGATCGTTTGATTTTTGTACAGGATAAATGGAAGACACTTGTCCACACGGCCAGTATAGCTCCTCACCAAAGAAGAGGTGAGCCGGTCCCACAAGAGCTGCTCGACCGTGTTTTAGTAGCTCACTCTTATTGGTCTCAGCATCAGTCGAAACAACATGGGAAGCATCCGGCAGTCGAGCCTTCAAAAACTGAGGATCTTTGTGGGGAGGTCATCGGAGCTTGAAGAATCTGCAAAAAACTTGTGATCGTGAATGTAGAAAATGTTTCTATTATAGGGGAGTTTAACATTGAAGTTGTAAAAAGGGGAAAATTGTTTGCAACTTTTTTTAAGTTTGGCTGTAATTAATTTATGTCTCACTCACTGATTTGTTGGCTGATTGTCTCTTTAGCCTTTCATGTTCTTCAGGGATTTGTTTTGAACTTGTGTTTCTGTACATGAACTGTGGAATAAAGGGTTGTTTTGTTTGTGTAGCTTCATGAATCTCGGCTTTTGTTTTTAAATTTATTCTAAATTTCCTTTATAGTATTATGCTTATTAACTGCATAAACAATAATATACATGAATCTCGGCTTTTGATAGTTGCACACTCTTCTGTATATATCTGCGGTGTGGTCATGTACCCATAGAGTTGTAAATGAGTTGAGCCGATCTCGAACTTTAACGAATCGAACCATAAAAATTTTGTTTTCGAGTCTTATCGAGTCGAGCCAAACGAGCTTTAAATGAGTTCAAGCTCGGCTCGTTGAGGTCTCGAACTCGAGCCGAACTCAAGGCTTAACGAGCCGAGTCGAGTCAGACTCATTTAATTTGAGAGCACTATATACCCATCATACACACAAACATATGTAATACTACAAGATTTGAAAAGTTAATACTAATAAAATCAAACTGCATAATGCAATTTTGTAATATAGTTTTTTTTTTTTAATAGATATAAAAAGTAGGGTGGTCACGAGATCTCATATCCGAAAATGATTAGCTGTGATTAATATTTAATACAACATAAAGCCGATGGGAGGTATATTTATTAATTTTTTATATCGTATTAATTAATTGTATAGTTTGGTAGTGACACCCAAAATGCACGTTGGATCATGTGAAATGAATTACTATATGCGCAGATTCCATGAGTTATTTAATAGTTGGATCTACATATATGGATGTATATAATTTTTTCAAGTTACATTATCAAAATCATCACTTAAAATTTTTTCACCTCAATTTTGAGTTGCTTTATTCTCAGCAAGTATTTAGAATTTAATTTAAATATTTTGTGTTGTAAGAATCAATATTTACAAAATGTATAATATATCATTAGATAAGTATATCTCAAAAAAATATAAGAACTTATGTCCGATTTATTTAAATGAAGCAATTCATGTTTACTCCTTCCAAATAAATTATATGTATTTATACGTAAATTGTCGAACATTATCTTTGATTAATACTGACGTAAAGTATTGCGTGAACGCACAGCGTTGACTTTCAACTGCGTGGTCCCACGGATTTAGTGGCCTTGCCGTCTGCACTCTGCAGAGCCTCACGATCGTCGGGTGGAGGATTTGATGACCTCCTCGCAGCATGCGGCGGCCCAGGCGAACTTGTAGGAGAGGACAGCTGCCCATAAGCGCAGGGCGGATGCTCGTCGTCGGCATGTGAAGTTTGAGATGGGGCATTTCGTTTGGCCGGTATTGACTAAGGATCGTTTTTTGACCCATGAGCACAACAAGTTGTCTGCCCGGAAGATCGGACCCATCGAGATTGTGTAGAAAATTAATCCCAATACCTATCATCTCCTTCTACCTTCGCACTTCTGGCGTGTTTAACGTCAAACATCTAGTTCGTTTCCTTGGCGACAATTCGTACGAAGACGAGATTCGACCGGATTCGAGGAGAATCCTTCTCAATTGGGTCTTTGGAAAAACATGATCGACTGAGTCCTTTGTTCTAAATATTATTTCCCATGTTGTTGTTGTTGTTATTATTATTATTATTATTATTATTATTATTATTATTATTATTATTATTATTATTATTATTATTATTATTATTATTATTATTATTATTATTATTTCTTTTATTTGCATTATTTAAATGGTAAATATATTTTTATTTTTATCTAGTTTTTCTTGTTAAGCAAGATGGGTAATTAGGGATGTCAAATAACTAGATAAATAGCAGTTTTTCTATGAGGCCAACAGTTGGCTCCATAGTAGAGTCAACCTTCTATATACAAGTAAACTTATCATATTAATCAAATTATATTAGTTTTATTTAAGTAATAAAAGAATATGGTAAGCTTACTTGTTGCATGTATATAGAAGGTTGACTCCACTATGGAGCCAACTGTTGGTTTCGTAGCAAAACCGAGATAAATAGTGCGGAACCATAATTATACCATCATAAAAAAAATTGTGTCTAGGACACACATATACTACGATTCAATGGCCAATGACTATTATCGTTTCACCCAAAAAAAAAAAAAAAA